GCTCTTCCTCTTCCAGCCAAATCCTGAGTGCTGCTGCCAGCACCCTGCCCGCCACAGAGGCGGCCGAGGCACCGAGACGTCACTAACGAGGGGATTCGGCAATCGGCAATAAGGGCGCTGCGTGCGCACCTAGGGTGAGGACCGCCGGAGAGGGGAGGCACTGGGTGACTGCCGGACCTCAGTAAAAAAACACCGCACCTTTTATAACATAATTGCGTGCTTTATTGATATACACAGTAAAGCAGTATATAATACAATAGTAAGGCATATATTTGGTGAAATTTGATATGTTGTGAAAAAATGCAGTAGAACAGAAGTTTATAAAAATAATTAGTAAATGTTACAGTGTTGGTGTTAAAACACAATATATTATGATATCCAAGTAATAAACCAGTACTGAGTAACAATGAAATAACATGCCATATGGTATTTATGTATTCAATTACACTGATTATGTTTTACAGTTTAATACTTTGTCGTTATAAGGAATATGAAATAATTCCCAAATTATGCTTAAAAAAGCAGCGGTAAAGCTTTCAACTTTTTAAATATTTTTTGACAGACTCACTCCAAAACTAAGATCTAGAAAGTAAAACAAACAAAACAAAACCCTGATGAAAACAACCGTGCAATCCGTTTTTCCTCAATTTTTTTTTTCTGAAGAGGTTTAACTGATAAGGTGGGGAAAAAAAGAAGAAACCCATCTCTTTCTCCGATCTCAGTTTAGACCTTCTGATAAAAAAGACCATGAGAAATACCGAGGGTTCCCATTGTAATAAAGTGTTAAAAAAGCTTTTTATTAGGAAAGCAGAGGTTTGGGGGAATTTACTTACTTTTTGTAAAGGATTATCATTGTTGGTATTATTTTTAAACGATGAGACCTGGTCACACAATGGACACGTGGTGATGATGTAACATTATCTGTACGTAATTGTCAGGAACACCACAAAACCAAAGTGAGGTAGAAATAGCATGACTAGCCATGTTCAATGTTAACTAGCATTCAAAATAAAATCTTTCCCAAGTTTAATTACACTTCATACAAGAAGAGGTAACAGATTTTTTTACTCTTGCAATATGAAGTCAGATGGTGTGTTTCTATGCACTCTAATGCAAAATTAAAAGCTGGTTAAGAAAATGAAGCGGTAAAGCTTTTGCTGACAGCACCTCATCCCCAAACCTACCTCTCACGAGCTGCAGTCAAGCTGGCTAATCTGTTTCGCTATCAGTTCCTCTTTTTCTCACTTTATTGTTAATTATGTGTGATTACTTGTAGAGAGAAACGGGGAAGGAGAAAGGACCAGGGCCTTTGTTTTGGTGATAAACATCTCATGGAGCAGTGTGGCTACCTTCACCTGATCACCAGACGCGCGCAAGAACAGCAGTAACTCTTCTACAGCCTTTCCCAAAGGTTGCTCGCAGCGTTACAGCTCCTTGGGACCGGCTGCCGTAGCAGGCTGAGACGCACATTGCGGAAAGCTCTAGGTTTATTTTCCAGGGGATCGAGGAGCTTCACGCTCATTAACAGCTCGTGAACTGGGAGCTGGACAAGCAAAGACGCTCTGTGAGTAACCTACTCGTGCTTCGGGTCAGAAGCTGATCCCACACGGGGGTCAGGAGGGAACGTCTCCCTTCCTTCTCTCCTCTGCAGCAAAGGGGACGCGAGCGGTGGCAGCGGCTGGGGGGGGCTGAAGCGCTGGCTGCTGGCCGCGGCCAGCGGGGTGCCGGACACTGAGGTCCACACGTTTAATCTGGTAAGGCAATTTCTACGTTCCTGTACTAATAGCACTCGGGAATTCAGTCAGCAGAGGAAACGCTGGCGCATAGGATGGTCATTAAATTCTTTCCTTTCCTTCTTTCTTCTGGGGTTTTTCTTTTGTGGGGTATTTTTTTTTTTTCCATTATTTTTTTGCAGGCTCTGTCATGTAATGTGCTCTTTCATTTAATTATTGCAAACTAGCTGTGAGATTCATGTAATTCTTAATTTTATTGAAAAGAGGTGAAGTAACTACCTTCGTTGGAAGTTCAGGCGATTTTTTTTTTTTTTCTTAAGCCAGCCCTAGTCAGACAAAACCAATGAGAAATGTAAGTTGGCTGTTTTGGTGTCGCTGCAGGAAATACTTTTTTTTTAAATCTTTTTGATAGGCAAGGAAAAGAACACAGAACATGAATCTCTCTGATGCAGTTACAGAATTGAAATGATACTAAACAAATGCACTGCCTCAGTATTTTTTTTGTTGTTTTTTTAAGGGGGTTTCTATAAACAATTATTTTTATAAAGCACACTTTAGTTTACAATCTTTCATTATAACTGTTATAAATTTTTTTAAACAACCCAAAATGCGTTCCATATAAAGAAATGGCAAGTTATTTAGCTATCAAGATTTTACATGTAGTTCTCTTATAATTTTTGTACAATTGCATAGACGTGTAAAACCTGCCATTGTTAACAAAACAGTAACAGACTTAGGAAACTACTGAAATCTACAGTATAGTACCACTACCCTTCACAAAAATATAGATTTGTTTTCTTGTAAACTCTTACAGTCTAATCCTCTTGGTAGTATGAATATTATAAAAACCATGCGGGACGCCTGAAGTTGTAAAACACATCTTGCTATTCTAACACCTTGTCGTCCGTCATCACTGTCACTAAGGTTTCCATCGCTCTTCCCAAGTCGTCTGCCATGTGGAAAAGGCTCCCTACATTGTGGCCTGAAAAAGAAAGCCAAAGAAGAGGAAATTAAATGAAGAAGACACGGCAGCAGATTGGTAGGAACATTTTACAGAAAAGGCCGAGCACAGTTCCATCACTCTCCATGTACCGCTTGCCGCCATCCCCAGTGGAGTACACCAGAGAGTACTCTTGGTTTCCAAAAGTCTCCTGGATGAGTCTAATATGTTGTCTTTAGCAAAAGTTGCCAGTTTTACACAACACTTAACAGCAATACTGGCTTGAATGGCTAGGGTAAACTATGTTGCCAATAAGCCAGTGTGTTTGTCTTCCGAAACCTCTCCCCTGCCCCGTAGCGATGAAGCTGCATCATTACAAATGTTCACGAAAAGCAACAATTAAGTCCGCTGACATCACAGAAAAGTTTCTGAATGGTGCTGCAAGTATTTGACCACTCAATGTTCTATCAAGGAGAAAAACAGAAACAAACAGATCAGCAGTAATTAACTAAATCATTAAACCCAAGAGGCCCCAGCAGGTTACCTGCACAGACAGTTAAAATGATGACCAAACTAAACCGCTGCAGTTTATTCAATCGTTTTTAAAACATCCTTTGCTTTTCAGACAGCAGGTCAGCAGAAACAAAGATGCCACAATTATCAAGTAACTACTATACAGTGGTTCATTTGTACATTTCTCCTCACTCGTAACCACCGTAAAGTCCTAAGATGGTGTAACCACAACACGTGGTCCTCCTACACAGAAGTGAAAAATAAATGCAGAGTGCAACTCTGGAGATGAAGCCTGTTACTTCTTCTCACACTCATTTTACCACTGCTGCAAATGGAAAGGAAAGGTAGCAACACTGATCAGCAGTAAGAAATGGCTCCATCACAATTAGAGACTAAACAGACTTGAAGCTAGGGAGATTAAATTGCCAAAAATTGCCATTGTAGGCCCTTGCCCTGGTCTCCAGCTGCTGTTCAGAAGAGTGTGGGTCTCCTGCAAGTCCTGTGTCAGATTTGCAGCCCTCTATGACTGTCACAAATACCCTCTGGCATCTCACATGACAGAGACATCCCAGTTTAAACAGCTGAATCCCACCTGGAGTCTCCCTCCTGAAAAAATATGACTGAAGAGGGAATATGACAGAGACCTAGGCACCCTACAAGATGAGCATTCAAACCAAGGACCGAGTGTTCAAGATTTCTTGCAAGGACAAGAAGGAACGAGCAGGCAGAAGGTCTTAAGCAGAAGGAAATTATGCTCCACCCAGCACATAACTTATTACTGAACTCATCGCCACAGGCTGGTGTTGAGGCCAAACACATAAATGAGTTAAAAAAGGAGTTAGAAGATAATCACCGAAGAAAGATTAATTTAGATGCAAAGAAGTGCATGTGACCTCCAACTCAAGACGTCCCCAAGCAGAGTGCCAGCAACTGAAAGTATATAACAGGGTAAGTATTACTCAATAAAACTGTATGTTGCTATGGCCTGTGGGGTTTGATTTACTCCCTGAGAGTACTTGCGATAGAATATTGTGTGGAAGAACATGGGAGGTGCAACGCCATCTGCCCACGACTCTGCTTCCCAGGAATGCTTTGCGTTAGCCTGGATGCCGAATCCTCACCATGGTCCTTGAGGAAGGAGCATCCACATGAAGAAAGGACATGACCACGGCATCCAGGATACATCTTGCATGCAGTCCCTACCTCTAATGTGCTGGAGCCTGACTGTCACCATTGCCCACCTACACGGTGCGTGTCCCTCCTGACACAACCGTCTTCTCTAACAACAGGAATGAACCTTCTCTGTGGGACAAATCAAACTCGCCATCAAATATTATGGTAGTCATGCATTGTTGACATTTCTATAGTACATAGGAGCTTGAAGTGACGTTAGTTAATATTCATCAGCATTTACGGAATAGAAAAAAATGACCTGAGAAATATCCAGAGAAGTTTGTTTCTTCTGGAGAACTACTACCACCTTTTACATTCAAAGACTAGTTTTTTAAAGTTTCTTTTTTTTTTTTTTAAATGTAGCATTCATTACACAAAACTATGCTGTATCTAAGTAACAACTACTCAACAAGCTGCCCATTTGACAATGAGCTGTGCTGTGTGTGGCACAGTTTGCCAGATATCAATACAAAGAAACACTTGGTTCTAATCTGGTGACGTTTTGCTAATTGGACTAATGCACAGAGAAAAAGATGCATCAAACAGTAATTTCATCCATATATCATTAACGTATAGCCACCTTATCCATCGTAAGCAAAAACTTCTGATTTGCTTATCAGCACGTCAAGTAACAGAATATGAAAAATTCCTGCTAAGTTTTGGTCAACATTCCTTACTTTAAAATAAATGTATGCTACCACATTTATTTTAGATGTAAGGGATAATCTCTCTTACTGGCACTATGCAGGCTGAGATCAGTCCAGCAAATTACACCATGGAAACTGAAAATTTGACAAAGTCATATGAAAGCAAGAACATATTTTAGAAGGGAGATGCTTATGTATACAGAAAGGTAACTGCCACTGGTTTGCTCTACTTACCTGAAACTCTGACATGGCTCAGGTGCATTTGTAGCATGTGCTATCAAGGCTTTACTGGAATAACCCTGGTACAACTGGAGTAACCTGCAGCATCCCCACAAACACCTTGACCCTGCAAACTACTTTCAAGAAATCTCTAGGCTTTAAATACTCTTCTTTTTCCTCACCTGCAGCAACCCACAGACAGAAGACAGGGAGGTGGTGAGAGTCATAACTGGGCAGCCAGCCAAGAGAGGCACTGCTGCCTGTGGGATCATGGTCTCTCATTCAGATTCGTTGCAACCTGTTGTTTTCTAGAAACAACGATGGGTCTCCAGGGCTCTTCAGGTACTCCACCACCACTCACTCCCAGCTCGGGAAGGGTGATCACCCTTCCATGGACTTAGAGCAACCCAAACAACTCCATCTTCAGAAAAAATCAGTATTTGTTAATACTATTTTGTTCTGTCAGATACAGAGCTGTAAAGGTAACAAAGGCAAGCTGGTTTTATAGAAAGAGTCTAGACCTAGAAAGAATAACTTAAATAAAAAATATAGAAAAAAAGTCTTTCAGAAGTATGCCACAGTAGGTGCAAACTCCTAAACTGTTCAGGCAACTAAAACACGGGCCAAGACGACCTTATGCATCCAGGCATCGCTAGGTATTCTTTTAATGCACAAAAATTACAGGAACGTCTGCTAGTCTTTTTTTATTTTCTCTGTTAATTGCTGCCATATTTTTGAAATAACCATGCTTCGAATCCGATCTCCCTCCACAAAAGCTGCACAGAGGCATGCTGGGGTGATCAAGGAGATACAGCTCCCTCTCCCCCACACCATCCATGCTACCTCTCTAGCACAGGTCTTAATTTCCTCTGCAGAAAAGCTGAACAATCATGTGTCTCCTCCTGAGCCATCTGAGTTTACAGCTCAGAGCATGACCATAAACCACTGCTGACTGCAGTTTATGTTAATAGCTGGACTGTAAAGTGCAACAGCTTGGGGACCGCAGTCTCCGGGACAGTCACGGGATGGGAGGACGGGCCAGAAGAACAGGCAATAATATCTGTGCTCCAGCCACTCAACTGGCGAACCCTCAGCTGGGCGTCATTGCACCGCCAGCAGTTTTGCCTGTCTTGCAGATGGGAGTAACAGCTAGGACAACCAAGACTGGAAATAGTTGAGAACAACATATGCAATAATTTCCTGGTACTGTATGTGTAATGAATGCACCCTCTTCTGTAATGCCCGTTACCCAAATAAGAGCTCAAATTCGCTGACTCTGCTGCTTCTATTGAATACTGCTTACTTGCCCTCTCTAAGACTGAAACGTGGGACATCGACATTTGTAATTAAGAAGCAAATGAGAAAAATACTGTCCTAAAAGCACTTAGAGAAATATAGATCATAGCTTTCCACTCGTTATTATTCATATTTTAAGGTAATGCCACCAAAGAAGGCATTAATTTCATTCTTCTTTTTTTTTTTTTTAAACATTAAAGCTGTAAAAGCTTTCTCCACGCTTGAGGCACTGCAAGGCTGAAAGATGCTACCGTGTTAAGGAAAAAACTAGCAAACACTTTGAAATGCAGCAACAAAGCTCAAAATGGACATGGACAGTATTAATTCAGACTTATAAAACGGAGGGAATATTACTACAGGTGCCTTTGCTTTGAAAGAAGACACCTATTTCTGCGGACACTGAATACATCACTTCTGGTCACATATACAATGATGCGCTTGACATCCGCTGAATTTGCTTTAGAGGCTCTACTGGAATTAAGGCCCTTGGGTGAGGGCACAGTAACTTAATACCAATCTTATACTACAGCTTGTCAGAGAAATAAATGTGGAGCACTCAGATTCGAAACAGTGGACAGAAAGTAAATTAAAAAACCCCAACACAACACAGTGTCTTTTTTAACAGCACAGATTTCTAACCCTTCCCCGACAAAAGAAAAATCCTTCCTGTTGGTGGCTTGGATTTTGAGAACCTTATTCATATCAAGTAATGCCACAAAATCCATGGGATTACACACAAAGACAATACCTAATGTACGTAATGGGATCGAAACCTGGCTGGGTGGATTTAAAACTGCATGATCTGCCTTTACACAAATGGATTCACATATAAAGCAAAAGCTGTTCCATACCTTAGCTCATACACTTCATAAGCAGGTGGAGAATTGTGCGTTATATTCAGCTCTGCAAGTTACCAAGCCCCCTCTGGAACCATCAGCGAGCACAAACACAACTGGAGAGCAGTGACTGATTCACTGAAGAAGTGAACTTTTTTAAGGTTAAGCTCCTGGAATCTCATCAGGTAGGACATGCCCGTTTTTCTAATTTTTTTTTTTATTATTATTAATTGTATCAAATATGCCCTCAGCAGCAGAAGCTTTTTCTGAATAATACGCTTAAATATGAATAAGGATAGTGGAAATCAACAGCCTGTTTTGCTGAACTGGAGAACAATTCTCAGACTGTATGAGCCAAGAACATGCAGGGCTGAATATGAAATAATTTCCACAAAATTTCTGGACTGGTATAGTCTGTTGATGATATCCCAAGTACCCGTTTTTGATCCGCATGAGACAACCTGCCATTTGAGGACAGACTTAACCTGCACTGAGGGTCTTATTCCTTGAAGTAGCTGGGCTTGTGCCAGCTCCTACAGACGATGCAGAGAACCACTGTATTGCAAGGCACTGCATTAGAACAAATCCTGGCTGACCCAGTGTAGCCTGTCAGTGACTGGGGGTTCACGACAGCTCTGATGAAAACCCCAGCACAGCGTGTTTCCATGAGCCCCCCTCTCCCCACCAGCAGAAGTTTGGAAACCAGGCTACCCTTCAATTTCTGCCTCATCCGCACCCAACATCATCTGTGCAGGAAAGGTCATTTCACAGCTACTTGCAATTGCACTCAGGCAGTCTCTGAATATTTTATCTTTAATAATAATTTTCGCTAGGAATTCATCTTTCAAACGTTGTGTCTGGTTGGCAAGTCAAGAGCAGCTTCACAGAAGAAAAATCAAAGCTCTCTGGAAATACTTTCAAAGGTGCTATGACAACACAGCACAAAACGTTTTCCTCCATTAACAAGCAGTGACGTACAAATTCTAAAATCTATTTTGCATCAAACCAACCATGTCCAAAATGCACAGTGAAAACCGCCACCCATTCGCATTGCTGAATACAACACTGTGGAGCTCGTGAATGTTAGTAGCATTCTTCATTCTGCAATAGTATATCAGAAAATTAAAACACCTGAATCTCATACCTCTCAACTCTCACTGTTCTAAAGCAAAAGAAGAAAGCTATTTAATAACTGGAGATGATGGTTGGTATATTGGCACATATATGTAAATACGATTGTGAGTATGAAAGCAGAACAGCAAGAGACATGGGTCTCCCTGTTGTGCTTACATACAAGAACAACAGAACATAAGTCAATGACTGCAGCATATTTGCTGACCATATTTATCATACAGAGGCTTCATTTCAATGTATTATTTTCTCCTCCCCATTCCTGAGCTTCCACCTCTGGGAGGATGTAAGAAAATGCAGATCCCTGAGCTGACATTGTCTCTCCATTGAAAGCTGAGAGGTACGCTACTGTTAGAGCACACATGGGGAATGCACTCAGCAAAATCAAACAAAACCCAAAGCAAAATAAAACCACCCCCACCCTTCACCAAACCCAAGCAAACCCGTGCTGCCGTCACACGCATGCTGGGCACAGAAAGCAAGCTGTGACAAACAGAAGCCATGGCAGTGAGCCTGCATCTCACTAACCTCTCTCACTGGCTTTCCAGGGGCATTTCTTCCTTTAGGAACAGAGAGAGGAAGTGGAAGAAATATCAGAAAAGAAAGGAAACAAAACCACATGTGAATATATGTTTTATACTGTAAGAGACACTTCAATTCCCATTTAGGAATTTAACATAAAATACCCGCATTTCTGCTTTAAACAAAGTCTGAAAGTGCACTGAAATCCACTGATGATTCTGAGCTGATTTATTCAAGAACAGTTCTGTAATCTGCAGCTTGGTGTTAACCTAGCAAAAACACTTGAGAAAACTACTAAAACCAACATACAGGCCTTTCAGTTGAGGATAAGGATGGCAGAGATCTGAATTCACTTTTTGAGCATCCAAATTTCCTCAATTTGAGTACTTCTACTCATCAGCATTGGTGGTAAAATCATGTTTCCCCAACGTCAAATTAATTCATCCAGACACTTTACATTTTATTATGGCCTTCATACATATATACAGGTACACATTCATATATACATGTATGTGTACACACACACACATATTTTACACCTAGAGCTGTACACTGGAATGTAACATGCTCACATTCAAGACAGATATATTCTGAAAGATGTTTCCAACAAGCTTATCTCCAAGCATGGTAAAACTGAGGGGGCAGAGGGAGAAAGGGAGAAATAAAATTCAAGTAAAAGGGGAAAAAAGGGAAAGTATCTCATCACTTTCAAGTTGTACTGGCAAAACGGAGGAGTCATTAATGGGTTTAGCTGAAAAGACGTTCCTGACGAGCCTTCACGGAAGCCGGACTTTGATCATACTTCTCATACTTCTCAAACACTTATCATAGCACATTTGTTTTGAAAAAAGAAAGCCAGGTGTCAATCAACAGCAGAAACACCCCCTCTCCCCCCTTCCCATCGCACAGCTGGTGACAATAAGACACTCGCTGTCTCCAGAAGCAGCGTCCCACTGTCACTGGCACATTACTGCCAGCACTGGTGCTGCCAGACTTGCAGTCTTGGGCAAAAAAAGACACTGTGGTAGATGCTGTTCAAGAAAGAGGATGATCTTTGCCCCAAAGGTGTTGTAAATGATGTAATTGTAAACGACGTATGGGACAGTGGGGAGACAGGCAGATATATATGGGAGAACACACCGGCCAGCTAACAGTAACCTAATTGCTGTCGAGTTTTTTTCTAGGTATGGCAGCCTGCAGGAGAAGGGAAGAAAGACAATAAATAGCTTTGCAGGGATTTTACAAGGAGCAGAACAAGGGTCAGCAACACAGCAAAGCTGAGCAGAGGTGGTAAAGGACAGGAGGAGAGGGCGGAGGAAGGGAATGGCATCACTGACCACCACAGGTCAGAGCCACTGCTCAGCTATAAACTCCAGGCAATGGAAATCATAGAATTATAGAATCCTTTAGGTTGGAAAAGACCTTTAAGATCATCCAGTCCAACCATTAACCTACACTACCAAGTCCACACCAAACCAATCAAGGGTAGACTAGACTAAACGATGTCCCCAAGTGCCACATCTACCTGTTTTTTGAATGCTTCCAGGGATGGTGACTCCACCACCTCTCTGGGCAGCCTGTTCCAATGCTTGACCACCCTTTCCGTGAAGAAACTTTTCCTAATTTCCAACCTAAGCCTCCCCTGGCGCAGCTTGAGCCCATTTCCTGGGCTGGGGCAACCTCTGCAGGGCCTGGACAGCAAAGGTTACCATTTACTGAATGGAGGAAGTTTTATTCCCTTCCTTCCTCTCTTCTCAACAGCATACTTACTATTAGAAATTACAATAATAGGTTTGAAGTCATGCTCTGCATGTGGGTTTTTATTCTGGTCCTAAGGGGAGCCTTGACTCAGGTTATGTCTATGCTGCATGTACTGGTGGTACACAGAGGTACCAGAGTGAGCTTGATGGCCAGGAGAGGTGCAGCTTCAGTTCTAAAAACTTCACTTGGCAGGCCTGCCTGACTCTCTAGGACTTACATGAGTGCCTACACAGCCTGCAGCCTCCTGTGGTGCTTTTATCAGGAGCTATGAATGCTGGAAAAAAACATGCCTCCCAGGAAGGAAGACGAGAACCTCTCACTGATGTAAATCATGTAACAGAAAATCCTTGAAAATGAAGATATCAAGTTCATTGCGTATTTTGGTCGTCTTCTGAGGAAGAGCCCCAGGTGGTCTATCTAGGGTGAGCAGGTGGTCTACCTAAGGCCTCCAGAAACTGCAGCATAGTACAGTTGGGTGTGCAAGAGTCCTGGGGCATGAGTGAGATCCAGCAGAAGACAGCTTAGCTTAGGTCAAGAGCAGAGGAGGAACTGCCTATGTGCAAAATACTGGATCCTTTTGGAGGTCTTAAGAAATGCCTACCAGCCTGCACAAGGACCTAAAATTGCAGCTACACAGTATCTAATTTAAATAGCTACACGAGACAGACCGGATTCTGCTTGAAAATGAATGTATTTAAAGGTAACTGGGATAGCTCTGCCCCACGCAAAACAGATGGTGAGGAAAGTCTGTGGTGTGTAATCAGCCCTAGAATTTGTTAAATGCAACAAAGAGTAGCACTACTACAGTAAGAGCTAATTTCTTTTGGAGGAAGATTAAAAAGGGTTTAATGGATTTTACCTTATTTTCTTCTTTGCATATCAATGAACGCATTTCTTTAAGTTTTAAGGCAAGGAGTATGGTTTGGCATAAATTGCAGAGGAAGAAGATTGTATTGCTGCAGTTCTGAAAATCTGTATTCTGTAAAGCATCAAAATACTGATACACAATCCATGGGTGCCTAATTATCTATTATGCCTGCTCAAATCAAGACTTCCTGCCCTTACAAAATAGAAGAGTCTGTCTTTCTTTTTCTTTTTTGGAAATCTGCATGACATTGTACCACAGGCAAAGGTACACAGAGAATGATCAAATCAAACCTGAAAGCAGAGGCATGAATAAAAACTTCATGCATCTATGCAGATTCAGATCAAAGCAGAGAATGCAAAGCATCTACTGCACTGCCGCTCTCACTGAACTCAGGAGAGGGACGGGCTGCAGAGGGGAGATATCTGGATCTGCAAACAGCTTTTTTTCTTAAAAAAAAGGTTCCTTGAAATTTTGTTAAATTCATTAACGTATTCTCAGTTTACATCACGACTGAGCACTATAAATCACGGAAGATCTAGTCCTCCCCATCACTATCCCAGCAGAAATCTGCAGAGAAGCTCAGACACTTCAGTACTGTTGTGCGACAGGGAGCGATACGGGACCTCAGTCACCTGGGCTCACTGGTAGGACCATAGCACAGAGAAGGGGATACAGTCCAGAAGAGTAAGAGAAGGGTACCTCAACTGCAAGAGTATTTCCAGATTACCCTACAGTATAATAACTTCAGGGTACTCTCCCACTGATTCAGTAAAGTGTGAAAAGAAAAGTCTGTGTTGTAGGACGTTTTGCTGCCAGAGTGAGAGAAACTCTATTATTTGCAGCGCTGAAAGTTGCTAGTTCCACTTAGGACATTAGTCCCACTCATGACAGAGCCTGGCTGATGCAAGAGTGAGAGTAGAGGATGTGTCTGGTGTGTTTTTATGTGACTGAGATAAAAATAGAAAAAAAAAGATGGTGCTATTCTTAGTGCCATTTATTTGTTGCTGTGGGGTCTTGTAATTTCACTGCACAAGACAACATCTGCATTAAGCAATACTATGTTACATAGTAACAGTGAGTACCCATCCCTCTCCAAATGTTTTCACGTGATGTCATGGCCTCTTAGCTCTTTTAAGCCATCATGGTCTCATTTCTAACCACTTCTTGGCTCCCACTTCCTCATTATCCACCAGCAAGTGCTCTGCATTGAAAGCCTGGGAAGCTGTCTCACCAATTTCAGTTGGCTCAGGAACTTCTGCCCCTAAATTCCTCTCTGAGCTTCATTCATAGAAAGCATTTGCCAAAAACCCATAACCGCAAAACACAGCCTGGTCGCCCATGAGATCCACCTGAAGCGGTGCCACTTGTTTGTCCTCAGTGCTGCATTTGGCTTTAAAAATACTGGCTGCCAATCTTACTTTCTAACTGTGAACCAATTCCCTGGAGATTTAGTAGCTTGGGCACAAATACAGCGTGAAAATGTTTTCCTCTGTGGCCGATTATCAAGCCCGGTCAAATAAACCACTGAGGTGGTATTTAATGGTAGATTTTCCCTAAATGTCAGACCTCTGGCTTTGACATCTGTTTTGAGTTAGCACAGCAGCTGTTCGAAGCAGCTGCAGCTGTAAGTAAAAGAGGAATGGACGGGAAACCTTCTAGATTAAAAGGAAAGAAAAATTCCTTAAGGACAGCAATCGTCAGGTGTTCAGCAGAATTTCCCTCTCCAGAAACGAAACAGCTTTTGGCACCAACAGTCAGCTGTGCAAGGAGCATGGAGGTCCTCTGCTCCCTAGGAAATGCCAAGAGCTGCCAAAAGGTTAAACTGAAGAAACAAAAAAAACCCATTAAAAGGTATATAGTAACACAAGTTATTGCATCTGAGATCTCCTTATGAAGGTCTATGACACTATTTGTTTAACACATGCATCTCTAAAATACATTCCAAAGGATGCCATGAAGCCTTGATGTCCTTTTAAAAACAACTCTGCAGCAAAAGCTTGGAAAACATCATAATCAAAATGAATCTATCTCCAGGTGAGTGACAACTAATTACTATTACATTTTACTGCTTTGTTTCAGAAGGCCAAAATAAGAGCCACTACTTGCTTTAGAAAACTATTTCCCAACCTGAGCAAATCTTACTCTTCCTTCAGATGCTTTCAATGATATTTAGCCTAATATTTTGCTTTTAATTTGTATCCTGTGACGTTCAACTATACATCTGTGCACACAAGCACAAAAACTCTGTCCTCTTCTGCCTTCACTGCTTATTCAGCTCTGAACTTTTCTCATAATCAAAGCCTTCAGAGTCCAGTTCACTCTTGTCATATTGTTCCGCACTCCTCCAAGTTGTCATTACCCTAATGGCAACAGGATACCCAGAATTATGCCCCTGATTCAAAAGGCATATCAATCCCTGTGCTGTGACATGTTGGAGCTGGACATTTCAAACTAAGCTTGAAATTTAACATGCTTATTTTTACAGCCCACAAAGGAAACCTGCATTTAATGTCCTGCCAGTAACTTCCCAGGCCTTATAATACATCCCTAGATTTCCTCAGTTGATTCCATGTATAAATTTCAGGTTATTTGTATGGATGTTTGTCCTTTCCTGGATTTCATTTTGTTATTCTCGCTTTCAATGTAGGCAGGTTTTGATGAGTGCCCTTTGTCCTCTGCAGCTCTTCTGGAATTGCATGGTCTATGAATATCATAGCAGACTTCGCCTTCTACAGCATTAGTATAGAAAAAAACAAAGCTACTTCTAGTACTGGTCAGTCTTGGGCATTTAATCCATCTTCCTTCTAGTTTTAATTCCTAAAGATAGTATGCATCACACGTGGTGCCAGTTTACCCAAGTAGTTTGAAGTCACCTTTCAAACAGTTTTTCATAAGCTCCTGTATCACAACACACTTCTGAATGCTAGACTGGGATGACTGAGTTTCTTGCATCTGACACTTTTTTAGTTCTACGTAATAAGTATTAATTAAAGAAAATGTATTCTTTACAGATCTGTGCTCACCACTTGTTTGGGCTTATTGTTGTTTCCTGAATACCTACAAATAGCTTGAGATTCAATGCAACCTGTAATGCAAAGAAATCAAATATTACTTGCACCATGTCTGCACCCTTACGCTATGCCCTCTTCTCAGGCTGCTTTGCCAAACTGCTTTCACTCTTTTGCACTTACACTTTGATCTTCTATTACAGATTAGAAACCTGAGATACAGATTTGCACCTCTCTACAGCAAACAGGCTCCTGATTCAGTGGTTTGTTGAGATCAGTCAACCTTGCTTCCTTTTCTCCTTCCTGCAGTCTTGTAGATCGTAAGTCATATCCCTTACGCCCGTGGAATCTGACTGACCACAGCATCCTTCACCTAGCTGTGGATGTAAGCTTTGTTTATGCGGGTATCAGCTGAATATCATTTAATCGTTAAAATGAGAGTAGAAGAAAACTCCAATAACTGAAGTTTGCATGAGATCTCAGCAAAATTGACGATGTCAGTAGCCTTCTATATCAACCAGTGAATGAAAATCCATTTGCACTGGTTGTAGGACAAACTATTTCTCACAGAGGGCCTGACCATTCCCAATCCTCAACCAAAAGCAATTATACAAACCTGGCATTCGTGCAAATGCATCAAAAGGTACATGAAGCACAGAGAAACCTAAGGGAGGTCCTAATCTCTTTAGCCAAAACCTGGTACAATTCTCCAAAAAGCGAATGACTTTTTCTTTAGCTGGACAAACCTTTTTGTGTAGCCAAAGAGAGAGGAAGAGGCAGATTCTGGCTCCAAGGCACCAAGACGGTGCCTTGGTCAGGCCCAGAAGAGTCGTCCTGTGGGAAGCTTGACTCTGCCTGACGGCCTGTGCCTGCACCAGAAACTCCTCTCATGGCTTGGCTGAGGAGGACGGAAGACCACACATGTGAAACAAAGACTCTGCCTCCTCCTCACTTGCAGCCCTCCATGCAGCTAGAGAGTATTTTTGTCCTCTACGGCTGCTAGTCAGGCAGGAAAGTACTTAAACTGCAATCTCTTTTAGGGATGCTTGTGGTCACATACTACACTTTTAACATAGTTACTGAATGGAGAAACAAAATAAGGGAATATATTCTTTCTCTGTATTTAAATGACCATATTTTGCATCACCAGAATGAAAATGTGAAGTTACAGCTTAACTTACAGAATTAAAATATTAACTGATGTTACCAATTTAAAATCTTTTGGTTTTTTCCACTAAACTTTATATTCTGTCAGTTTGATTCATGAAGCTTTGTATTTTTCACTAATAAAAAACTAAAAACCTTTTCTATTCTCAGTCAGTAGGGAGTGGTATCTAACAGACTGATCTCTACCTATTTATACACAGGAAATGAACCACTCTATTTCAAATCTCTCTCATTAACTGTTGTTTCGTCAGTTGCTCCTATTTTACTTAAAACTAAGCTTGTTTTTAAAAAGCAACACTGTTTGTCACTGTCATCAGCTATGATTACAAATTAGATACCACATTTGGTGAATATTTTAACACATGGGGTATCTACATCTAGACACATACGATTATGCAAGATCTCCTAAATACAACATATTTACACAAATGTTGGTCACTGATGAGAAAGCACTGTCCGTTGCAACCTTGTGTACACAGCAACTTTAAAAATAGGTCCATTTTTATCTACATACCAATATTTGACAGATTTTTCATCTGTTGTCTCTGATAATTAATATCTAGGCAAAATGAGGGCTGGACATATGACTTTTTCATATAATGTTGAGGCGGAGATGAATGTAGTTAACAATATATTGTATTATATTTTCTTCAATAGTATCTTTCTAACTGATTCTTTTGATCTACAGCATGAGATCTTATGCAGTTTATACTGCCTTCTCCTTTTCCACTGCTTACAGATGACGCCTGGTGAGAGCTGAGCTGGCTTTGAAATCAGAGGATGGAGAAAACTTGACTTCACTGAAAGTCTAGCACCATGGTTAACGCATTTACCTACTAAAGAAGAACCTCTGGGTGATGTGTGAAACCTGTGCAAGGGGTCCTGCCCCTACTGAAATCCACTTAACAGGATGCCAATAGACACCAGCACTTTCTTTTGCCAAGAGGTTTATATTGTCTGAGCCTTCTTTCACAGTAACAGGCAATAGCCCAAACTCCCCATCTCCTGCTAGGAATCTAAGCCATTTTTCTTGGCAGAAGAGCATTTTCTCTGGGCTTGGAAAAGACCTTCTTAAATGAAAAAGGGTTGAACAAATAAATCCCAGTAATACACATGCTTATCTTTAGCAAACAACAGGAATGAGCAAAACAGAAACACTGAAAGAAACGCTGTGGCTGTATGCGCAAGTGCAGGCTACGCTGCACGAACAAGCAGCCCGCTTGCTTTTACTCCATTGCTCTGGACCCAAGTGCTACAAGGTCAAGAACTTCGACTCAGAACTTCAATATTATTTCAAAACAGATTCTTCTTGGAGAAAGGTAAGGACAGCAGAAAAATGTGCTAAGACATGTCTTAAAAATAAATCAGCAAGGGGACTGCCTGAAAAGGAGAGAAGCTGTGAAAAAAGGAACATGGCAAAAGGGAAGAGAAGAAAATGCTGAGGAAAAAAGAGTCTCAGACAGACATTGTTTCATCCACGTACCTAGCAGGGGTTACCTGTGGAAGTAGCTTAAGGTAAAGGAGGAGCAGGCTGCTTCTGCACTCTAAATAAGACAGGCTTCTCTACAGCTATTGTTAAAACAAAAACAAAGAGCAGCAAAAAACCTGAAACCAAAACACAACCCCCTGAAAACATCAAGGAACAGAAAGCACTTTTATCTTTTTCCTCTCATCTGCCACGGGCAGCAGCGCTCACCTCTGGAGCTGGGGAAGGAGTTGTTCAGCTGCTCCATCACTTCCTCCAAACCTGTGCTTGTGTCCTGGGGAGGGCTGAGCAGCTCATCCTCGCCTGGAAAGCAAATCCACACCACTGCATGAGAGCCACTATAAAACCATTTGCTAACAGCTTGCTATTGTGTGTGTCCTTCACGAAGCTAAGGCTGTTCACTTAAATGCATTTTCTGCTTAGTATACAATCAAAATTTTAAAGGTGAATTTTGTTGACTATTATGTTTCTCTTTTTAAGGATCTAAGTGAAATTAAACAATGAATTTTAAGCAATTAACACTGCCTTTAGTTCATAAAAAAGCTTTTAAGAAATAATCTACTCTGGTAAAAGAAGTGGGACAAAATGTCTGCTAGGAACATTTAGTTCCATAAATGACACTCGTTGTTTCAGCTTCTCTTATTCTATTAGTGGAAAAAGAAATTGCTGTTGTGAGTGCTGCTATTGAGCAGCTTTCCAATAGTGCTGGATTCATGTTAGCACTGCTTTGCCTAGCTGCGTAAATCAGTAGAAACCCAGATTCTCATCTGCATCAGTATTAATATTTCTGACAGTTTAATTGCGTCAGATTGGCGCTCCAAGAACATTCAATTGTACCGTAAAAGGGTTTAGCAGCAGTTTAATAAGCGAAATACATTTCTCCCACTGAATAATTTCTATAACCTGATTATAGGGCAGCAGCTTAATGGGAAATTCAATACATTTTATTTTTACTGGCTTTTTTTTCTGGTCATGGTTTCAGATAACTAAACTCCATATGTTGATTTTATTGTAGACCCTAGCCTCCGATACAAATAAAGCATCTGAAAAAAGATGTATATAAAGGATATACTTTGAGTGAGATTCTCCTTTTTTACTAGATTTCTTTTATCCCTATTAAAACACAAAAGTAATTTTGCCTGCTGTAATAACCATGAGAGGTACATCCCTATTTTGGAAATGACATAATGACCCTTTACTCTAACATGTCTTGCCCCTACTGAACTTGAGTAATAAACTGCCTGATTTTCTGTAGGCATTTACACTCTTTAAACATTGAGGTGCTCCGTGCTAGTGGAAAGACTACTAAAAGAGATGCTAAAGGAACACTTCACGACTGCATATATTTCCTATTATTAGGCTTAGTGTTGGCCTCACCTTAGGGCCAGGAGTTTCACAAGAGTTATTACTGACCAAGAGTAATTTTTCCCACTCTAGTACAAGAAGTGGAGTAAAGTGTCTGCAAGAGGCACTTAATTCATGCAAGTGATGGTCTTCATATCAACTTCTTTTATTCCATTAATGGTCTAAAAATAGGTGCTGAAACTGCTTGCAGCTTGTTCAGCTTTCGACTGGTGCTGGGTTCACACAAATCAACTCACACCACAAGTTACTTTCGCATCAAGTGTTGCACCGACAGAGGTGCCTTAGCAGAAGTAATGTCCTTCCAGCCTCTGCTGGATGTCAAGGTGAAAACTCAGAGCAAGATCTTGCTGCTTCTATGCAGGCCAAGTACCTTATCAGCATGCCTGCAGAAAACCACCTGGCCCTACAGATCAAAAGAAGAGGGCAGTGGCTCTGCTGTCCTGGCCAAGAACTGAGGACAGGTATACTGATTTCCAAATGTCCTGGTAAGCACTGATACAGAATGAACTGTGTTGACCCTCAAGACTGCTGTATCTTTTACGTAAAATGCATTATTTTTATTTTTTCTCATTTGGATGATTTTTCTGAGCATTCCCCTGTAAGTGGCAACATAAGACATCAGCCAAGCAACCCAACAAAAGTAAAGACACCTTCAGACCTCAGTTACCTATCTTTACTCAAAACAGTCTTCCTCATTTGTGTTTCTACAAAAGGCTTGGAAAGCTGGGTGGGTCTCAAATATTCTGGTGGTACATGAACGAATTAAAGTTCAGCAACAACCTCTTGGCTCACATGCCTCAGAGAACCTCCTCTCCTGCTACATTACTAGGGGAGAAAGGCCAAAGATTAGGACTCTCCCATTAGGACTCTATGAAAAGAAAAGCAGGACTTTTTCACTTGCCCAGGTGTATTTCAGGTTACCAAGGGATAAGCAATTCTATTTGTAAATTAGGATCTGACCGGGTTGCTGCTTTTACCAAACGGCTGGACAACACTGCTGGTGGAAAACCTTTTACAGTAATCTCTCCTTGAGAAAGCAGAGACACAGAGAAGTGCAGTGGGTCTACATTCAAATTAAAAAAAACCTAAGGTCTCCTTTCAAAAAGAAAAATATATAAAAGCTACCACTATATTACCTCATTGCCTGAGAGAACTACAGATCCTCAGTATCTTCTCTAAATGACGACTCCCTCATTACTGGGTGCATGCCTGCTGCATGGGAGCGTTATTTACAACACCCCTCTGGTTCCCTTCACAATTCAAGAATATTTTAAGTTGCACTTCAGAAAACTCTCAGACTAGCAAGAAAAGCTTTCGGGTGTGAAAGGAGACTCGACAAACTAAATTAGTTGCGGTTTGTTAGCTCAGTTAGCAATTCTTTTTGTAAGCTCCGCTCCATGCTGCCAACAGTGTTGCTTTGCTGAGTCTCAACACTGATCATGATTCAACATCTCACTGTCCTTCCACATATTGGCTCAATCAAACAAACAAAAAACCCCAATTCATGTCTAAATATTTGCTTTAAATAAGTTTTAGATATTTATATGATTATATGCATGTTAATTAATATCAGTCTCAAAACTTAAATGGGAATAATGTTATATCGTGTCAAACAAAAAGAAGTACATTATTATATTTGGTCCTACTAAAAGATAAAATATGAAACTACAAGACTTTTAATCAAATGGCTGGGAACCACTGTCTTCCTATCTTTTCTTGTGTATTTTAATTAACATATTTTATGCGATGAAATGCGTGACATTTGTTCAGAAAGCCATGCAAATTACTCCACCGATACATTTTGTTTACTCTGTTGCACAATACTTACTCACTAGTAATTCGATTAAAGAAAGATCCAAATTAAACTGCTGTTACCTGTGACTGTACTCTCACCCCCAGGATTTAACTTAAAGCATTCCTAAAGGTACGATTTATTTCACATTTTTTTGTCGTAGGGTGTACAGAACCCATCTTATTTGATAACGGCACAGGCTGACATTATTGCCTATGCTCAGGATGGAAGAAAAAGCCCCTGAACAAGCTGTATCTCCCACCACGACGGCACTTCAGATACAGCAGAAGGTCCTTTCCTGTTCAATTTCTCACTGTCATTGACTCTTTCACTAACCGCAGTGAAGAGAAAAGCCTCTCACTCTCCCCCAAAGCCTCTCTCTAATATACACTCAATAAATTTCTGTGTATGAAGCTGAATATTATCACCAGACTTCAAATATTATCTTGTTGAAGTAACAAGTACATTTGCATAAAGATGCTACAACAGTTGATTGCTTTTTTACTAGCAGAAAATCCTTACTGCTTGGTAATATATACTTATTAATTATATAACAGACAGGAAATTAGGAAAATGCTACAGAGCAGTTACTAAAAGCACCAAAATAATAATTCCAGCCTCTAGCTACAGAATATTACTTAACCTTACTCCACAACTCATATGATGTTCATTATCACATCTGATGTGATATTTAGAAAAGACACTAGATGAGCACTGCCCATGACTGACAGCTCAATCCTAGTGACTGAGCCATAACATTAAAAATAAGATCCCATCAGTTAACATGGGGATGATTAATCATACATTTAATCTCTTAGCAATAATTAATACTGTGTACATTCAAATCAGCCATGTCATGCTTAATAGCTGAAAGTCAGTTTGAATAAAATAGTTAGCTCTTTAGTGATATTTGTTTTCAGAAGTCAAGCCCTGGCTGAGCTTTGTATTTAATGTCAAAATGCTCATGCTACTGCGTGCATCATGATCAAAAACAAAAGCCTGAACCATAATGAAGATGTAAAGTGTAAACAGCCAGATGACATCGAAGACCATTGCAAATGTCTGCTTCCTTCTCATTTGAACTAAACGGGAGAGCAGAGTATGTTCTGTCTTTAAGGATTTTTTTGCTGTAAAATGGGACTATAACTTTTTTTTATGACAAGCTGAACTTTGTTATCTTACCCATGGTTTCTGAAGTCTGGCTGCCAACTACACGAAGAAGCATTGGCTGACTGCTGTCTGACCTCTGCAAAGAGGTAGAAGGAGATGACAGTGTTGTACCATTCACCTTGGCATCTGCCTGCGGCTGAAAATTGAAGAAAAAAAGAAGAGATTGTTATTAACAGCTCAGTACAGTATATGCACAAATCTTTATATCTCTGTATTTTTTATTTATTCCATGAATACACATAATTTTCTGTCTGTTTTTAAGTAAATATATCTATGCAAACAATGGATTAGAATTCTGAATAAAACAAGGAAGATGACTAAATAAGAACCCTGAAATATGATTTCACCCTCTCACTTGCAGCCTGCAGAACAATTTAATATTCTTCTCTGACGAGCCTCTACAGATATGAACTCTTGGTCTGTTGTCGTTATTGACAACGCTTCACACCCTGTTTGGAAGATGACTCCGGACAGATGTAGAAGCAAGGCCTGAGGACTCACCTGCTCCAGCAGCTGCCTCAGCCTGTGCAGCTGCGACTCCAGCTGTTTGTTGTGATCCTCCAGTATCTGCATCCTGGCCTCCAGGCGGCCCTTGTGCTGGCGAAGCAACTTGGCTTCTGCAATGAGCTCAGCATCCCGGGGGCTCTGCGGAGAAACCGGCATCATCTCCGGTGGGGACGGCAGCGGAGACAGTCCTTTGTGGTCATGCTGTTGCTTCAAACGGTCATACTCCGCCTGCAAGTTTCTGTTGGGAAGTAACAGGGAGGTAAAGCTTTCCAAGGCCGAGCAGGCAGTGCAGGCTACCCTGTGCGCGGGGCAGCGAGAAGGCACCTCCTCTCGTGTGACGTGATGTGTGACGCGATGTGCCTGACTACCGGGGCAGGGGCTCACCTGCACCACCTGCCTTTCGTTCTGCTGAATCCACGTGCGGGTAGGCTGACACGTTGCAGGTTTGCACGGAGCTGGTACTATATAGGCACCTATGATACAAACACTGCCTAAATGCTCTCCGCGTCACCCGAATTCGCAATTAATTCCCTGCCGGGGCACAGGACGCCGAAGGCTGGCGGGGCTCCAGACGCCCTCCCGAAGGCCGGGTACACTGCGTCCTCGGCTCAGCCCTCCCTCGGCTTCCTGCGTTTTATCCTTCCCAGCAGAAGTCGGGCTGCCTGTTTGCTTCCACGCATGAATACACTCGAGAAGTAATTAGTGCTAGAAGAGGACTTGGAGTGATCAAAGCACTTCACAAACACTAATCAATGCAGACGCCACCTGGCCGGCCTATCTGTTTTATAGACGAGAAAGCTAAGACGGAAAGGCAGCCCAAAAAGTCAGAGCGAAACACAAGACTCAAGGGTTCATTTGCAACTCTGCTGTCGTCGGTCAGGTCACAGCATTCTCCTCTCTTCATATTCACAACTGCATTTCCAGCCTCGCTCTAAAATTACTAACCTAAAATGAGGAAAAGACAAATCAGTGAGCTAATCTGTTAAACTACACTGCGCTAACTTTTGGGGCTGTAATTTCCATCTTCATTTGGACTGCCCTGTCTAGAGCGCTGCAGTCTACTGTAACTTTATGACATTGCTAAGCTTGTTCTTTTATTCCATAAACCTCTAGTTTTACTCCAGTAAAACACTCCATAGATCATTATGATCTATAGTGGTCCATGTGAAAAAAAATCTACCAGGCAGGAAGAGCACAGAAGGTAAGAAACTGAAGCCTTGTTAGGGATAACATAGTCCGAACCCACAAAAATAGTAACTTTTAACAGAAACTTTGCAGGCAAGGGAGGCCTAATAGACTGCACTGGGATTTTGTTGCTATGATGTTCCTTCACAGCTTCCCAGAGGGGGGGAAAAAAGCCTCGACACTCCGGTAACTGCTTACTCATCACAAGCAGTGACCCAGATTTTATTTTTTCCAACTTGTTCTTATTTGAGGTTGTGAGAATGGGCACTTTTTGCCAGTTCTGCCTACAAACCACAATACACACTGACGGTTTGCTCTGGAGGCTTAATAGCACCTCAGAAACCTCCCAATAAACTTTAATAAGCTCTGAAACACTTCTAAAGGTACATTATTGTGACCAGAACGAGAACTAAACCAGTATGCATCATTTCACATGGAGAAGAAAGCAATGGCAAGGCCAAAGACAGGCTACTGACTGTTCTTCAAACGTATTTGTGCCCCTCAGCCAGCTGCATGATGGACGCGTCCTAACCTGGGACTGTGGCACCCCCCCCAGAATGTGATCCCTAAGGGATGTCTGACCTAATCCCTCCTCTGTGGAAGTTTTAAAAGGTTAAGAAAAGTGGTTGATCATTCTTAACTTCAGGTTGTCCCAAAATTCAAGATTTCTTTCTCTAAAACCCACACAAAGAGGGGAGATGACGGAGAGGTTTTTTTTCAAAGCAAGCTTTTTGTTTTAATGAAATACAGTTTCAGGTCCATGAACATTATCGGGAAAAAAGAAAGAAGGCCAATACTGGGTGTTGCCTTCCACATGACTTAACGTCTTCTGATACTTCTAGCTGAATGAACTGGTGCATAATTAATAAAAATGCGAAAGGGAATAGGAATAAGCATGTCAACGGTATCGCACACAGTCTTACTGGAGACTAAAGTTTATACAGGATTGATCATTAAGCTTGTTTTTCACAAAGTCTGTAGATAGCGGCTATCGCTACCCCATGAGGAATTTCCCAGATGTACAATACAGGCAATACTCTACAAGAAGCAGACTCAAAAGTTTGAAGTGCTGTAAAGTAAAAGATAAAATATCACCCTAAGGGAAACTAAATAAATGTACTTGGTTATACTTACAAGAAAGAAATTTACAATTATCACCTCAACTATGAATATAGAGAAGTCCTTCCAGTAACTATGGTATTGAAAACCAAGTGAGGACCAGGGAGTAATTCAGAGAAAAATGCCTTCACGTCGTTTAAAACTCTTTCTGAAAGCCTACAGAAAAAAAAATTGTAAAGGATATTGCATATTATCCAAGCAGAGATATGTCCGAATTTGTGAGTTCTGTAATTAAATACTGTAATACTGTTCAAACAAAGGAATGTCATGTTGAAGGATGCATGTGAGTTTTCCCAGAGCACCTGTGTCACTCAGTTTTCCAGCTGCACCTTTTCAGTCCAGCTACAGAGTCCTTAGTCCAGAGAATTAAGACTCATCAGAGCAACCTCTTTCAGAGCCGTAAGAGTGATGTGGAGTGCAAGACAATCAATAATATCATAATAATTGGCATCTTACATACAGGAATGATGACTTTTATTAACATAGTGGGGAAAAAAGCTGAAAATTAAACAAGAAATAATTTGAAAGCTGCTGTAAGAACATCCTAGAGGAGAGAACAATCTGTTCTTATTCCTACCTCCAGAATAGTTTTAAGCTCTGCGGTGAAAAAGGATTGCTGCTGCAAGCCAGGCGTCCAAGGCACTGCCCACAGCCCTCAAAGTAAAGCCTCTGTGTCCCAAGGAAAGGTGCTTTCTGACATTTGCAGCATAAAATGGGAAGTAAGAGAAAGGGGATAAAAGCACAATCCTCTCTAAATGAATGCAACTGAGCAAGCATGGGCAGTACTGGGAAATCCAGCCTCCCTCCACCATAGCTTAGGCTGGGTGACTTTCACATCTGGCTGTCACAACAAACAAAGCTGCTGCATCTTCTGATCACTGGGAAAATGTATTCTACATCAGTAAGAGAATATTCAAAGAAAATCCCATATATTCCATTTACTATCCTTGCACCTCTTTGAAGCATTCATGAAGAAAAATAACAGAGGAAGCATGCAATGTAACCTTGATTTATGCAACTGTAAAGAGCTCATGAGTTATTAATCACATCTATCGTTGGCAGCATTAATTGCCTGGTGACAGAAATCCTAGTGGACCCCATTTGCTGAGTAGTCCTCTCAGAGGCAATTGAGAATTTATGAATTCATGTTATTTTTCATCTCCCTGCAGAAAATCGGTGGTTTGAAGAAACGGACAAAGCTGGTAATTGAACCACCTACCCCTGTCCCTCACCAGAGTGCCAGCGTTTACTTACAATGCTTCACACTCAGAAGATGTAGTTCCACTTCTTCGATGCCAAAATAAATAGCAAAAGGAGCCACTGCATGTTTAGAAATGCATCACTTTCTTGCTATTGGGAACTATACAGAAGGAACCTATTTGAGGAGGCCATTCATCAGGCTTCAGATCTAAAGGAACACCATAGCTGCACGGAAACAGGGCAGCTTTGAGATTTGGGCTATTAGTGCTTCTCCAGTGGCACACAGCCCACTGCACTCCCGGTGCAAGTCAGGAAAGCAAAGGAAAGGTAAATAGCTTCAGCTGGAGATCTCATTTACTAAGTTCTTGTTACAGTACAGCTAGGAGCTGGGAGGAAAACAAGAGAATGGGAGAGAAGTCCCCCTTTTACAGAAGTATGTCAGTCATCTTGATTCAACTAAAATATTAGGAAACGTTCACTTTCTTTAGTCGTTAAAATAGCAGGAAAGTATTTTAATGCTTTGCAAAAAGTTCTGTCAGTGCAAAAAACCATATGCTTTCTATTTAATGCTAGTACAGTACATCCTAGTCAGCATAAGCTATCCTACAGTATAACCTAGGTAATGTACTGCTTTAGAGGGACACCAAAAATTTTTCTTCTCTATTTGTGAAATACATTCACTCTTAAGGAAATTTTAAAATGGTTTTGGGACAGTTTTATCATTGGGTTTTTCTCTTATATTGCAATATAGTAATAGTGCCTTCCATAGCAAGATTACTTTATGTCTATTGAATACATAAGAAATGGTCTTATCACAATATTCCATGTGATGTTAAACTGAGCATGAGTCTGAAGGCCTAACACTCAAATGAAACATTTTCACCAATTGAAAATATTCTCTAAAATGCTCACATTTTAGCAAATATAAATTATTTAGCAGTCAAATTTTAGCCATGAATTATTTAAGGAAGTCATATTTGCAAGTCACAAAAGCACCAAGGTCTCAAAATGCTAGCAGATAATAATGAATATCTAACAAGAGGTCCTTGGAACTGAAAAAAAACCCCTGTCAGAACTGTGTCACAGCTAGGTTAGTTTATAAGTCAGATAATACATTTCAGAAGAATTCAAAATAGGCAACAGATCTTTTTAAACTGTCCAAAAGCAAAACCTCAGAATTACAATTTCAAAGAGTCTTTTTCATTTAAGTAACAAGTCAAGATGGAAATATTTGGAGACCAGAAACCGTAGCTGAAAACCAAATGGAAGTCAGAATTCAATAAACAGCTCAAAAGAGGCGAAGAAAAGTCAAAACACGAAGCAAAAAAGGGCTTTTTTTAAGCAGGAGACTGTGGAGAGCAGAGGAAAAAGAAATGACAGTGAAGCGTTTTGAATATCATAGCATTGCTTCTTGCTGGCACTTGGCGCAGCTTTCCCAAGAGCTGCTGGGAAGCGACTGCACGTGCTGACTCTAATTGTAAAGATAATACAAGACACAGCAGAGCGCGCTAAATCTTCATTGTCAAAAATCATCAGAAGTGCGTGCAACAGAAGGTGGTCAGCACGGGCAGGAAAAGATGACCGTTCACCTAACACTGCAGCTGCCCAGCCACTTGCCTTCCCAGGCATAAGCATCACATCCAGCTCAGCACCGGCTAGGAGACGCGCTGGGGCCACAGGACCCGAGCTATTTACAGTGGAAATGAAACAATCCAGGTGCTTTAAGGCTGCGCTCAGGACCGGGCGGTCACAACATGATTTGCGTCACGTTCAGCTCATTTCCAAGCAACAGATTCACTGAGTCTTCATGCTGCAGCAATAAACAATGTTTGCTCAGAGGGCATTTTTAGGATCAGCATGGGAAGGATTATGTGTTCACCCACTGGAACTGGGTTCACAGAAGGAGTTAGGTCCCACGTTGTTGATTACCTTTGGCAACAGCCGCAAAAGGTTTGCACAAACTCAAAGGAGGAGAATGACTAGCAAACAGAAATCTAAAGGGATAAGACTTTTTTTTAAAGGTAGGTTAAGTTATATGAATGACTCCTGACTGACCCTGTCTAAACGGCTTATTTTTCTAAACAGGAATCAGTGTTTCCTCCATAAAATCATAGTTATTTGGCTGTGACAAGCTATCACAACAAGAACTTGTTTGCTTTTCAGCACCCACCTCACATTTTTAAGTACAAGTTATTCCTAGCAGTTTGCAGAGAAAAAAAAGGCATGATTTTGTCATAATCAATGAAAATCACAGCAGTGTGACCTCCACGCTGTCCTACAGAAACAGACCTCTCCGTCCCTGCTGCACTGAGACCTGAAGCATCCACAAAAGGTGAGGTTGCTCGTGATGGCATCCCATCCATAACTGTGCCTCTAGTAGTAGAAATGAAAAAACCAAGCTATACCAAGCTTACAGATACAGCTCTTGTTTGGAAGTTTGCCACTCCTGGGTTAAACAGGTATTTTTAAGGTGTAATTCCTGTCAGAGATCTTTTAACATGCTATTCCTCATTAGCAGTTGTTATATTAAATAAAGCTCATACTGAAATTTAAGGCATAAACCCCAAAAAGGAATTTTTTAGTCTATTTAGCTGTCTAACTCCAGATTATACTAATTTTCATATACCACACTTCTAATCTAAAATGAGGCTGCTTTAAAACCCATCCTCCTTTTGGCAGGCAGCTTATTTTGTATACAGACAGAAAACATCTATCATTTCTTTTTCTCCTTCCTAGTGCTGTTTAAAAAAGTAACACCCTTCCCCTAAAAATGAAGCTATTTTACTATCTGTACAGTACTAGTTACACAATATTTCTTAACTACAGAAGTCCTGTATGCAAACTGTGATGGCTTATTTCAAAACACTGATTTTCCTCCACTTTGGAAAGTACTTGAGCTTTATGTATTCTGCAGTAGGAAGTCCGGGGTTTGTTTCAAACAAAATCTCACTGCTGTTCAGAGAGCAAGAGCTTTGTTTACTACAGCTTTCTGCCTGAAACACTTTCCTCATCCTTTATGGCTACTGATCCTCTACATTCTCCCAAATCCTCCTGAACAAAAGTGTGTTCTTGACCCTTCCTCTTTATTTCTCACCCTCCAGTTTATTACTCTTTACATATCTGTCAGACATCGTGACAGGCTTTTTCATGCAGGCAGAAACATAATCTCCAGGTGTTCTGTCTGCTACTAATTCCTCATAGAAAGCAGTTAGACTCTAGCAGTTCGATCTTCAGCTTAACCTGGCCTGAAGATTGTGTAGTCTGAATGCAGAGAGAGTGCAATGCAACTGGAAACAGGAGGGCGTAAGAAAATAATGGTGGATTAAAAAAGCAACTCTTACAGCAAATTACACCTTTAATGAAAAAAGCATGTGTAACAAACTATTATTGAAATCATTTGCCCCTGCCCCTGGAGATGTGTAGAGATAAGTCTACAGAAAAATAAAACCTGGTATTTATGTAGAACAGGCTCTTTCCTCTTTCTGGTTGAAGTATATTACTTATACAGAAACACGGACTTAATCTGTGGAGGAGTAGCTGATGAACGTCCAGAAGGAAGCATAAGGCAGTTCTAAATCTTCCTCCTATTCCAGGTGACAGAACAGCTTATTTCAGGCTTCTCCATGCCAAAACCAATTCAAGCTGTTCTGCAAGTCCAGGCTCTGCCCTTTGTAAAGAAGTCCCAACCACAGCCTCATGGAGATGGTGGGGTGATGGAACCACTGTAATCGATTAGTACCATCCAAAGACGACTTATGCATGGAGAGAAGATCTATGACACTGCCAATTCTTGCATTATTGTCTTGACATGCCTAAGGTAAATGATTACTGCATTAAACCCTCAATGTAAACAAAAGTACCTAGCTCTTAAAGAAGCAAGAAAAAAGAGCATGAAGATGCCAACAGACATTACCATAAAAGCTGAAGATAGCAGAAGGCAAATAAAAGTATGGTTTTTTTTGTAGATCTAAATGATTTCCATCTTACAGTCTAATTTTGGTAGTTCATGGTTGCAATTATGAATCTACCAGTTTTTATGCTGATGGCCCAAGACTCCAGAGTGCCATAGAAAGAGGACTGCAGTGTGATGCTGCAAGAATCCAGCTGGGGGTTTTTTTGTGATTAATGAAGATAACTTCAATTAAACTTGAAATTAAAAGTGGTAAATTATATTTGATATTGAAAGGCTAAAGAAATGGCGACAAATAACACCAAACAAACAGAAAGAAAAGAGGACCCAAGTTTTAACCACCATGAAAGAACTCATTTGTCTGAAGAAAATGCAATTTTATAACTCATTTTATCCCTAAAAATGCTATCAAGGCGAATTCCATCTAACTGTACAGCACAATTATTTCACAGATTCTTTACTTCAAATGAATTGAGGTCATTTCAAAACCTCATGTATCCCAGTGGCCATCCTTTTTGAGAAAAGCCTGTCTTTCCAAGAACCTCTGCCTGTCTTTTCCAGACAGGGATGCTGTAATCTGCACACCCTTCCCTCTCGTAACGGCAAAATAAAGCAACACTGGCGTGAAGCTCATTACTATCACGGAAATAAAGGAAACGGTAGAACAGAAGGAAATACGAAACGCAGCCAGCAGAGCTTGTCACAGGTGGCACTGTGAGTATTAGGTGACCCACGTATGCCTTTGAAGCCTGCCGATTTGGAGGTTTTGTGAAAGAAACGGTGCTGACTCATCACCGCACTGGAAGTGGGAACGAGCTAACGACGGTATGTCGTCAGCCTCATCATTTATAGAGAGAAAGCTTTCCTTTGCCCCTGCAGTGCGGGCTTGAGAGCTGCGGCAGCTGGCGGCGTAACCCACCTGTTTTCCTCCTCCAGGTCCGCGAGGATTCTCTCCAGTTCCCCTCTTTCCTCACTCTCCAGAGAAATCAGGATCTGGGCAGGGCTTCGGGGCTGGCTCAGGGGGGATTCCTGGTTCAGACTTTGGCAGTAGTGCTGGATTAACAAGTGTTCGTCATCGCTGGAAAACAGAGGAGGATAAAACAGGCTGTTCCCTTCCTCATTTTTAACTTCACAGAGAATATGAGGAGATGATTCACTCCCAGTCTCTCATTTCTTAAAAAGAGATTTGCTGAACTCTTTGTAACAAACGGCAGAGTAATGTACCTTCAGCAAAATCTGCTGAACTGTTTCACTTAGTCTGATAATTTTCCTCCTCTGCAGAGTCCACCACTCTCTTCCTCTCTGCTTCTCAGATACTTAAAGCCACAGTTTTGCCACAGCTAACAACCTCAGCTTTCCTATTTTGCCTAACTTCAATTAGGAATTTGCTTGAGAAAAAAGGCCATCTGCTGTTGCCTGACCGGTGTTGTGGAAGGGTCATTCAAGCAAAGGCAAGGCATTTATTTTTACACCTACAAATGCTCTTTATGTAATAGATGTCTTCTATTTATCTATTTTTCTCTATAAAATTGTAAATGAGGTAAAATAAGAAAATACTGACTTAATCTAATGAAATTACACTATTTTTCACTGAGTATTATTTTAAAATTACAAGTGATGTACACTGTCAGAATACAAGTATATTCTATTGAATACATATCATCTCTCTCTTTATTTCTATTGCCCCCAAAGCTGTCTGGCATTTGAAACAGAAACATCTCTAGAACAGAAAAGCAAATCCAATTCTGAAGACTTTGACTGCCTCTCAGAATTACACGGGTGTTGTAGGTGCTAAGGAGATGCATCCAGGCCCTAAGCTATGCAGCTAACACCAGCAGTAGTTGTGAGAAACCATGGAAGGTTTCTCTTAACACTACAAGTCAAGGAGAGAAAAAAATGACACTGCTGTTGGGAAACTTGTTTTTCTGGTAGTACTTACTTATAACAAAATAATTCAGTCTATTTTTTTTTTTCTGTGATGTTTGTAATCCAAAATTTAACAGGCATTTTGAGTAGCTATCATTGTTAAAAATTAGAATTTTCCTTGCTTCCGTTTTGTTCCTGAAAATGTTAATGATGCCATTTTATAGACTGCAGGAGCGCTAAAGCAATGCAGAGCACATTAACGTTAGTTCATAAAAGGGAAATATTAATTTTTCACAACAGGCATCCTTTCCTTTTTCTAAACAAAATTTTAAAGCCTTGCCAGTTCCTGAATGTATACTTTTCACGAAACACCTCAACTGTGATTTCCTTCAAACAACTGCTTTGCATTTATAAATTTCTTTATGCATAAGTGAATTAACAGTGAAAAAGTGGCATAACTATTGCAATATAATGTCACTTTGCAAGACGTACTCTTTTTGTGTGATTTTCAGCCTGCATATATTTGGTATACATAATTGCAGTGACACCACATATCAAAATGTTTTGTGGTATATATACACATTATCTCTTTATTTCCCTCCTTCCCCGTCTCCATCTATTGCTCTAACTGCAATTATAAGCTCAATAATCCAAAACCCGTAAGAATGTCAACAAATAACACTTAAGCGTAACCTGACAAACAAAACTGCAAGAATTACAGTTGCAAATTCACGGTGAGCTTTGATTTTGCTGCAGTTTGTATCTGGATCATATTTCTTCCAAAATTCAGAATGTACAGATTTATTCTCTTTATAATAGTATAAACTAAGTAACAAACCAGATAGTCAGTGGTTAACTTATTAACTGAATCATATTAATGCAACTTTTAATTAACCAAGAAGAATTAATTGAATAGTAAGACCAAAGTGTAATACAAAGGATACTGCTTATGTATGATTTTGTGACTAAGGACACTGAAATATTACAGTGCGGACAACAGGAAATTCCATACAGAATAGCATTACCACTATCTGTAACAATACAAAATTGACATACAACTTGGAAACAAAGTTTTCATTAACTGTGTGAAACTATACTGACATTGCATATGTGTTAGTTCTGAGGTGTCATTTTAACTTTCTCCTTTCTGAACCAATATACTAACAATGTACTTGGTTGTACAGGGGATTTTCTTTCAAAGTTAGTAGGTAACAATCCTACCAAGTCAAAAGAGAAACTATTTTGAAACAAAGAAACAGCTTTATTACTATCCAAGAACATCTCACAGGCTCACAACCAACCTTATAAAATACTAGTGATTTGGAATCTCAATTTGAGTGAATGAAAACTGGCCAGAGTACTGTGCTTTAAAGGAACACTACAAATTTAATGAAAAGAAGATTCTGCCTGAATTTTCAAAAAAAATCCAGCCCTAAAACTGTGGTAAGGATGAGATTATGTAGAATAGGAAAAAACCACTTTTAGAGAAGTTGGGACTTGAGTTTCTTCATATTTGATTGATTAGAATGTGTGCTATGGCTTCTCCTACACAGTTAATTAACTAAGACCAAATTTTCAAGCATGGCAATGAGTTATGTGCTTCTGTCCTGTTTTCAGAAACATTACCGACAGTTAGTTTTCAAGTTCTATGTCCTTTCATTCAGAGCACGAAAAAGAACGAGAAAATCATGAGAGAGGAGAAATATATTATCGTATCAGAAAACCACAAAAAGGTCTCGGTGTGACTTGAGATTGAACTACTTTTTAAAAATTAAAACATTTATTTATGACTTTATATTTAAAGTAGTACAATGAATGCTTGTCAGTGATCTGTCCAGCTTAAAGTTTACTACTTGTAATATTTCATGGTGAGGATGAGTCCCTCCTGGCTTACACTTGCAATGTATTTCAGGTAGTTGTAGACCGAAGATTTCTGTTTAGCCCCACTAACCTTTTGAATGACACTTTACCCACAACAACATTTTCTAGCTTACAGCAATTTAACCATGATTAAGCTTGCAGTTCAGGTAGAAGGGTTATCTTTTTATCTTTGTCCTTAAACCACATCAGATGATGAGCGTTTTTTCCAAGTAATATGGGAACTATTTGCTGAATAAATCAGTCATTTTTTTAAGAAATTAGTATTTTTAATTTTGAAGGTATCAATCATCTGTTGCATAAATTTTGTATTAAGCTATAAGCCATAAATCTAGACATGACAATACACATTGAAAGAACATGAATTCATCATTAAATTGAACCAGATGGGGTACATGACCATGAAAATTCAGCACTACAAAATTTCATTACAAGTTATTAACCTTCACAAGAAAACACACATAAAAAATGTTAAAACAGCCTACTTACATGCTCTCATTAGGTGAAATACTGTCATTTAGATATGAACCGTTGGTGTTCTCCATTTCTGCTAGCCTGTGGAAAAATAAACAAGACTCATTAAAATCAATTATGTTTTCCGGAAACTTTATTTGCTCTAACATTCCTGAAAGAATTGAAGAGCGTGATGTTTTTGATGGATTTGAAATTCAAATTAATTTACACCCACTGTTGATTACCAAAGTTTTGCAATAAGCTATCGCAAAGGATTGTTTATTTGTTACAATGACCTGGCAAAACTCACTTTTAAGTTTTCAACCCTTTCTCTGAGGTTATATTCCACTCCTCATGACTAATCAATTCTGCAATCAAAGAAAGGCCTTAAGATGCCAGGGGATTACATAAATTGCTTTGTACCTGGCAATGTCACCATCAGAACTGTAACGATCAGTCATTTCTCATTGGTTTTCAACACTCAGCCCCTCCTAAACATCCTGCATAATTCAGAAATACCTCTCCTGATCAAGTGATTTTGGGGGAGAGAAAGAGGAGGTTGGAATAACTATTTTTCATTACCTCAGCCCTTGCAAATTTGCTTGTCTGGTGGAAAAACATTTTCATGTTTGTGCAATTAACCCACTTCTTGATTCTTAAGAGCAGTATGAAAGCAGACAAGTGAAATAAAGCAGCGATATACCACTATTTTAATCCTCCAAATCAAGGAAAAATCCTGTTTGTGGTATTCCACAAGGTGAATTACTTAACGTTAAAACAGTACTTGAGATTCACATAGAGTTTGGAGGTTTCTGCTCTTCTGATTTGCACGATTACACCAGGGCCCATATTAAAAACAAAACTCTACGCAGAATCATAGAATCACGGAATGCTTTGGGTTGGAAGGGACCTTTAGAGGTCATCTAGCCCAACCCCCCTGCAGTGAGCAGGGACAGCTTTAACCAGATCAGGTTGCTCAGAGCCCGTCCAACCTGACCTTCAATATTTCCAGGGATGGGGCATCTACCACCTCTTGGGCAACTTGTTCCAGTGTTTCACCACCCTCATTGTAAAAAATGTCTTCCTTCTATCTAGTCTCAATCAACCCTTTTTTAGTTTAAAACCTTTATCCTTTGTCCTATCACTACAGGCCCTATTAAAAAGCCATTAACCTCAGTGCACAGCTTAATGAAGACCCCACAGGACCTAAAGGCCACTTCTGACCACACAGATGCTCTGGCATGCAAGTTAGTTGACAGGCTGGTTAGCAGCAACCACAGGCGATGCTCTGCATCCCAGAGCCTGGAAAGCAAAACCCCAAACCCTATGTTTCTTTAAGAAGCGCTCAGGTAGCAGCTAGCCTTTGGGATTTTTTTTTTTTTGTTTTTTAAATGGTTGTTTAGAGAAAAATCTGCCTAATGTCCAGCTGGTCTCATACCTGCTAGCATAATGTTCAATGCGTGAATGAGTATCATCATGTGAAAGCTGAGGGGACGAGGCAGGCCTATAAGGCAGAAAACACTGATTAATCACAAACAATACCCCTTTAAAAGTAAAAAGACACTTAGCTATGCCTATACCCTCACATCTCCATGCCTTATGCTTACGCTATGTTTGATAAACAGCAAGTTATAACTCCAGGCGCTGTGTGGGCCTCCTCAAGCCGTTGGTGCAATGTTCTGTGGTACCACACTGGGGATTTTGACCATTTTGCAATCCGTCTGTTGCAATGACTCTTCTTCACACCAATCCCCGAAGAACCCTTTTCCAAAGGATTTATGGATGAGCTTTCACCCTAGTTTTCCCTTCACACCTGCCTCCTTTGTCGGTAATTCTGTTTCACACACAGCCCTGCGCCAGCTGCGAAAGCCCTGCTGGGAACCTCTCCCACCCTGCTCCAGTGCCTGCTTCCAGCACATCCCACTTAAAAGAGCCTTTAAGGACTACTCCACGAGCAACTAGAAATAAATACAAGAAACATAAAATGTCTGAAATGAGCCTTTAATAACACACTGCAGAAACTGATGATTTTGCCTAGCGTCTTTCCAGAATTGTAATCTGAACCATAGGTCAGTGTGTTATACAGGAGGACACTGTCAACTATTTTGGGTTTTCTGCTTGACAAATCAGATGGTATGAGGTCCTCTTCACTTTCTTGTCAATTAAAACAATTCACAGGACTTTTCTCATGAATTAGAGTATTGTTTCTTACAGCCTCAACTCTGGAAAACGTCACCATTGAATTATGTTGCCTACGCAGTTCAGAGAGCACCCTTTGCTGCCATGTGGGATTTTGCCAATTTACATGTATTAGGAAGTGCTGGAATAACAAAAAATGATGCAGCTTCCCAAATTGTACAGCAATGCTGTATTTTAGCTAAATTTCAACTTCTCTTTATTGCGTTTCTGCCGACTCTCCTTCTGGCACTCCTGACTGAGGAAGGACTTTCACCCCATTTTAAATTGTTGGATACTGTGGTTCTAGCTGGGTCTGACCAACAGGGACTGCACTGCATTGCAAGAGCAGATAAGTTTTGTACTTACTGGTTATAAACCAAAACTGTAATAATCTTGTGGTTCGTAATGCTCCCGTGTTAGGAGTTTGACAATCCTGCAATAAATCTACCAGACTGGTCATCTTCCAGTTTTCAAATCAGCCTGCAAAGGGCTCTAGAAAATCAGGATCCTTCCAAATTCATAGAGCTGCATGCTAGATACACAACATTCACGATCATTAATGTCTCTTCAACCAGAACAGCAAAGTTTTTCTTTTTAAGACATAACAGGCCAAGTATCATGAACCTCATTTTGTCTGAAATGAGCTTTGGCCTCTGACTGTACTTCTACTCATCGCATGTTCAAACTTTACCACAGCACACTAGAGGATAAATACTCAGTTCACAGAGTTCCTCAGTACAGCAGATTCATGCAGATGGGCAATTGCTTGTCTGCAACTTGATATCCTGTTTTGTGTAAGAACATCTACACTGAAAGGAAACAGGGGGAAAGGATGCAATTTGTCTAGAGCAGTGGATTATGGAGCAAGGTAACAACAGTTTTCTGATAAATTGATGCCATCCCCATCTTTTATTTGTTTCACACAGTAGATGTTAAGCTGGTCTAAACTGGTACTATCAATGAAAGAAGAGGTCTTGGTTTCAACACACACACAGAAACGTTGCTACTAATACTGTGCGCAGACTAGGAAATCTGTGTTAAAAGTAGTTTTAGTTTTGAGCTGGATCAACTCTCCTAGTCCCTCTTACCCTGGCATTGCACGTGTATTTGTACTAGTAGAAAGGAAAGGACAGCCCTTGGTTGGGACCAGCTGGGCAGTGAAGAGAGTGATGCCCCTTCTGGCAGTAGTGCAAGGCAAAAGATGGGCCTGACTGCATGATCACCTACTTGCTGCCTTGAAACTAAGCTTCACTTTCAGAAGTGAACAAGGTATGCAATATATATATTTTAAGGACAACACAGTGTTGTGTAACTTGTTGGAGCTGCTTCTGTCATTCCATCAACTGCAGACAGGGCTGAGGCTACATTTCCAGGTTTGTCTCCACTTCAGAACATACTGCAACAGAGATCTACCTCAAACAGCTTTTTAAAAGTTTACTTATGAAAGCAAACCTGTTGAGAAGCACTGCAGTCTTCGTGTTGAATTCAGCTGCTCAGAGGTACACTTTTGCCAGTATCTGAGCCAGCGTGAGAACTACTGTGCTGCACTGCAGGCTGTTGAGTAGACATACTCTCAGATGACCATCTGTGCTAGAGCTCACTGTCCTTCCTTTCTGAGCACATGTACTCAGCCCGCAGCCAGCAAGAAGGCTGAGAGACATAGCCAATATTTAGCCCTTTTTACAAGGGCTCCACAGCTGCATTGCTCAAGCTGGGGTCTGCAGGAACAGCCTGGGTAATTCCAGTCAAGTGGTGATCGAGTGGCAAATACCACCCCCTGCAATTCCCTGCACCCTCAGAGACCAGGCTGGCAGGACAAGGGCACTTTTCTTGCTGTTCAACATTTCAGATGATGCTTCTTGAAAGTGTCGAATCAAGTAAATTGTGTTGGTGCCACTGACAGCACACAGTTTAAGCAATAAGACACAAATTCTCACAAAAAGTGTGAGTTGCCCCTTTAACGCCTGGCAAGCAGAATATCCATGCAAAATACTGGATAATGTGTAGTCAGAATCACTATGTTCTAATAAAAAATATGGATGTATGTATTCATAAACAGTTCCAGATATTTTACCACATGTTGATGTCAAGATAGCACTAGCATTGCTGAATGCTGCTAGGTTATGCTCTTCTGGAGTACTTTGAAGATTACCAGAAAACTGGCATGAAAGCACCAGAAAAAGGCAAGATTTTAGAAAACATGGAAAAGTTCTACAACAACCAGAATAAGATGTTTGACTTCCAAAATTGGAATCAGCCCTGTAACTGAGAAACAGCTTTAAACCTGGCTAGCTCAGTAACTTGTGTTGTAGTCCTGGTGGTCTAGCACTTAGGAAAGCAACAAAGTTAGCAGAACAAAACAAAGAGCAATTCTTTCCAGCCACTATTCATTTCTTAATTTTCTGCTTTCTGGTCAGACCAGACAAAAGCATTGCGCTCAGGAAGATACTTGAGTTGGTCTGATAACCCTCTCCGTACAAATCCTGCTTCTCAGTATTTCTCAAGTTTTCTCAAGCGTTACATGCAAATTAAACTCCCTGACACCAAACCTTTGGTGTGAAGCTATTGGTGCAGGCATACCATGATGTTACTGCTGTAAGTGAACTAGAATTAAGCATGTTATGGCAGCTTAATTTCATGTTATGTCAGACAAAGCAATGGCATTCCATATTATCCAAGCTTTCTTTAAACGTTACTTTTAGCTTTTCAGTTGTTCTAAAGGGTTAGAAACCTAGATCCACAGCTGAGTATGTAGTATGATGTAATCATCCCCAGATGCATTTATAAATGAAAATGCACCCTAAAGTTCTAAGCCCCTCTATTTCAGTCTGGCTCCAGCCTTTTGGCATTTTCTGTGGGTGAATCCTCAACCATATGAGGTTTGCAGTACTACAGGCGTTTCTTGGTTGCTGGAAGTATATTTCCTAGAAGCAGATCACTTCATTTGACTTCCCAATTTTTTGTGCTTCAAATGAAAAGTATAAATCAATATTCAAATGTAGACATTTCACTATTGTTTATTCTACCAAAAATTCAATGAAGGTGCAAGCCATATACATTTCACCATATAGAAATATATAAAATTCTATTTATTAGTTTCTCAATAGTTATCAATATATGAATTAAAAATAATCCTTATTTAACATTATTCTAAAATCTTCCATGTAACACTAGTAGTAGCAAATGCCACAATGATATTATATATATCTTTAGTTTATGCTGAGGGTATTACTACAATAGTAAGACAATGCATGTGCAGGAATGGTGCAAGAATGAAATTCCAGTTCATAGCTGAAAAATCCTGCTTTTTTAACTTCTGAAAAAAATACAATAAACATTTCCCCATTTCAACCTGCCTTCACAAACTTTACTGTACCTAAAAAACTAATAAAATATCCAGTGAGCTTTGGAATAATTGGGGCACGTGAGTGTGCAGGTGTGCATGGTTGTGCATAAAACCAATTTATAGCTTTATCTACAAAAAATCATTATTCCTGAAACTGAATTAAATCCATCAAGTTCAATTTATATCTTTCAAAAAGCATTTAGTATACATTCAGAGGGATGGACACTTATTCAGAAACACAGGCTTTTAAACAACAAACTCTCATAAGCATTAGTAGGACTGTACCAAAATCCCTGTTAATTCGATGAAAAAACATACTCCAGAAAGAGCAGACAGTACACAATCCGCGATTGCTGGGAATTCCCGGATTTATCCCGTTCTATTCATTTGGGATTAAAACCTTCCTTCAGAGAGTGTACCAAAGAAAATAATCATAAAGAAAGGAGGAAATGAACTTATGTAAAACTAAACAAAGAAACAAACAAAAAAAGTGAGGGAACGCAGCAGCAGTAGCAGCAGCAGCACACTTCAGCAAAAGTACTCACGCAGAATCTACTGGCCAGAAGTTGATCAGAGTAACAGGACTGCAAGACAAAAAATGAGGAGGTGAAGAGAGAGGCAGAAGAAACTCAGCAGCAAAATAATTACAGGAAGGTTTAAAAAAAAAAAAATCACAACAACTGAAAACCAGAAATCCAACAGACCAACGTGAATGACTGTGAAGAGCAACGAACCAAAAAGTGAGAAAAAATTTGAAATCTAAAATTAAAAAGAGAGGAAAGAGAAAGAGAGCGAGCGAGAACAAGCTGTGTGCAACTGCCATTAAACAACTGTTTAAACTTGTAAAAAAACCCAAAGGGTACTGGGTTACTCATTGATTTCTCCATGTGCATCATTATTGCCTTTTTTTTTCCCCACAAAGACTTCAAAGTCATTTAATAAGACTAAATTTATAGGGTGAGAAAAGAGGAAATCAGCTGGGAAGCTTGCAAACACAGTAGCCTAATTAAAAAAGAAAAAAAAAAACACACCACAGAAAGATACCCATTTGGGTGAAAATAAAAATTTAATGAAGAGATCATTAGTCTCCAAATTGCCATATCAAACTTTGAAGTTTATAAGGCTGTCAGTAAGACGGTAAGTATTTTTCTTTTACTAACTGAAGCTGAAGTTCCTGTATAAGGACAGGTGAGAACAGATAAAAGCAATGGCAATTGGAATCCCAGCTTGTGTTTTCCTGCCAGCCAAGGTTAACAAAAACGAAAAAAAATAAAGAGGCTTTATGCATTTAGGAAGTGAAGGGAGTTGGCACCAGCTGGGGAGCTCAAAGAGCATACCAAATGAATTGCTACTTAGACACTTTAGAGCTACTCACGTTTCCATGTTGTCTCCCTCCAAGACAGTTTGCACAGGCAGGTAGCCCATTCGTGGGTGCTTTGCAAAATATCTTTTTGTTCGAAATTTGTTTTTTAGTACCTTGGCAAAGTCACGGACGTCTTCTCCTGAAGTTGTCTGAAAGCCACAAATCACAATGAAATCATCTTTCATGAGGTTATTATGGTTTTTTGGTTGCCTCTTCCTTTGCTGGGTCACTTGGAAGAGCAGCGGCCATACCAAGCAGAGCTGCCAACAGCTTGACCTCTGGAACCGCAAATTTTATTTATCACTGTCACTTTACAATGTACTACACAGCGACACTGCTAGCGGGGAGGAAGGAGGAAAAGGGAAGCTCCAAAAACCCTGACAGGCTCACACCTCATCTCAGGTGATCTCAAGAGGACCAGCAATAATTAGACAAGAATCTGTCATTTCCTCAAGTGGCTCAGGGGACTCTCTGCCTGCTTTTTGCTCAGCACAAAAATGGCTGTAATGAAGGATACACAGCCGGTCCATGTGTCCAGCCAGCAGCTTCACTGGCTGGATCCTGACTCTTACCACACGCTCATCATCTCCCTCTCATGGACTTGTCAGTCCACAAAAGTCAAACCCATACTCTCGGTACATTTTCTTTCCAGTTTCCTTTCTCAGCCTCCTCTCCCATTAATATTTTGATCAAAGAGAAACAAAAAGCAGGTGAGAGCTGCTGAAAGCTCTCAGATCAGTTATTTCTTCTTGTGCCTGTTTAATCTGAAGCTAGCAGGCGTTTAAGATCAATACCCTGAGGAGAGTACAATTTGCACAAAGTTTTCTACTCCCTTGCCTGCAGTCGGCTATCCTTGTTGCTGTAGAGACCAGCAGAGGAGCGCAAAGTGGAATTAGTTTCCTGAAGACCAGAATGAGCCAGGAAGAGTTCAAAGGATATCTGCTGGGAAGATGCAAGACTTCTTGTGAGCCTGATTAAGAGTTGGGCGATTTTCTGAAGAATTTTAACGGAAGACTTCAGTTGCTTTAGTCAGGCTGCACTCCCTTCTCTGCACCTCACAGAGATACTCGACCCTGAAATACTGTTCTTCTACAATAAATTAAGTTCTTCCTGACCCACATAACGATATTGCTCCTCCAGTGTATCTAATTTGAAGGAAAGAAATGAGGAAAAAGTTAATCTTTCTGACATTTTTTAATGAGTTCTATGCCTTCGATTTAGAAAGGAAGAAGGTGCTGGGACCTATCAGTCAAGCCAACTTTCACAAAGCTGCTGAAACACAGATGTATATATTTTTAAAGATTGCCAGGGTAGAAAAATTAAGGATGCCCTGAAAAACAATCTGCAGAAAGACTGAAATGCATTAACAGAAAGGATAAATATTATCCCTGTACTGACGACACCTACAAGTTTCATGTACAGCTGGAAAGAATTTGGGTCCCTTACTGGTCAGTCTGCCTGGTAGGAAAATTTGGCGTTGAGCAATGACTGGCAGAGAAGTGACATGGCAGAACCTACAAGCCAGTACAGCAGCATCTGTATTTTCAAGAAACTGAAATAATGCTCGATAATATTAAATACCTCTTCCTCAATACATCAGAAGTAAAGACATTTTGGGGCAGGGAGGGATTAAGTATGCCCAAACCAGCCAGGACTCCAGAAAGGGGATTTACTGAGGTGGCCTCGCATGCCCCAGCAGGAGGGAATTCCCTCTGCCGACCGCCATCTGCAGCGCCTGCTAGGAGAGCTCCTAACCAGGTCGGCATCAGGAGAGCACACAGAGCACATCGGCTGGGAACAGAGAAAAACTTTTAATATTTAGTCTCGCTATAAATGGATTAAGCACAGCTTTCTGTTCAGTTTGTTCACCTGTGTTATTTATAGCCATTTATTCCTGCTTTGCCTATTTTCAGTGTTGTGAACCCTTCCCATTGCATTTGACTGTAATTTGGGTTAAGTGTTTTCAGGCATGATTAACAATAAAACACTCTTTGCTTTGACCCTCCCAGGAGTATTATCCCCCCCTTGCTCCCCTGAACCTTCTGCACAACAACCAAACAGTAAAATGGTATGTTTGCACAGAAACATCCTGATCTAGTTGGTAGTACAAGAATCCTAAGAAAATATGTCTTCCAGTGACAACTGGAAGCACCAGGTACCTCCCACACGATCCACTTTCCATTTCAAAAACGTTCAAGGAGCACAAGAAAGGCAAAGAAAATGTGATTATTATGTGGACAAGATGATAGACTGAGGCTATTTTCAGCCAAACTTTCTGACTTATTCCACAGACATTTTATTCCACATGACTTTCAGAGTCAAATAATCCAAAACAAAATTCTCAGCAGAACTGGTTTATAAGGAAGAAACAGTGAAGTTTCAGCATCCCAGCTCTCTAAAATCAAAGCAATACATAGGCAGCTGGGCCAAGCATATTCCAAAACTATTCTGAAACCAAAACTATTTCATGACATAAGGAGAGCTTTACCACCATCTGACTTCTTGCAGTTTGAAAATGTCTTGCCAAACCCCCACCCCAGACCTCAGCCGTGACTGTAAACACTAGCTGTAGAAAGGTATCTTGGTTTGACATGCTTCCTTCCAACAAGACGTCTTTTATGCTGGTGTGTCACTGTTCGTTAAACCCAAACAGAAAAACAATCCTACATTGAAATCCCAGTATAGAAATTGTCTTACATGCTTTATTTGAAACCTCTTTAAAAGTCACCTCTCTTTGAACAGTAAATTGAGCTGTGTTGCTTTCAGGAATAATTGTTGCAATTTTTCTGTCTAAATGAAAATTAGGGAACAGCCTTGCCCTTATTCTGCTTCAACCTTTTGCAGGAGAGGAAAAGTTAGCACATCCCTCAGATATTTAGCATGAGTTCTCAAATCTCCCCTAAGCAGAGTTAAAGACTGCAGTGCTCCAAAATTTCCTGGAAGTAAGAGGGAGGGCAAATAAAAGTATCAAAACACTTCATTGTGCACATCTAGCTATTGCAAAGGTGTATCAAAGAAGGCATCACATGTCTTCTGTCTGCCAAAATGCATTTTAAGGTGAGAGATTTGTCTGGAGGAAGAGGAAAAAATGCTCTGCCACCAGCAAACCCCTTTTCATTCATTTAGTAAACAAATACATACTAGACATGATAGCTTCAGTGGATGTCTTGTTCAGTGACACAGTATTCGGGCTTATTTTTTCAATAGCAGCAACACAAAAAAGATCAGGCCTTGCTGTGCGTCACATTCACTATTTTTTTTCCCCCCAGTTAATCCTTCTCTAATTCAACTGGCTGCTGGTGCAGCCAGGCACGGCACATTAGCATGGGCTGCTAGAGTTCAGGCTTCACAAAAAAATGTACTGGCTGTGAATCGTTCTTTATTCTGACCCAACAATCTGGATGCAGTTGCAAATTTTCTGTTCACCACCGTGTTTCCCTGTTAGTAATCTGTATTTTTAGGGAGAACAGAAACCTGCTGCACCCCGTGTTGCAATGAGTTGCTGCAGGCTGTGGGGGTGTCTCACAATCCTTTTTCGTTTCTCTCTCCTCAAAACACATCTTATGAACGGGTTAAGAAAACAGCAGCAAGATGTTGGTTTGTGCACTCTGTGTACCATTTGCAAATCTCCCATGTCACTTATTAGCAAGAATAAGAGTGGAAACTGCAAAACAACACCATAGCCAGTTCAGCAAGGAGGTACTCAGCTGCAGCTGGACGGAATCCTCTAACACGGTCGGTCAGCCGCTCTACCTATG